GTCTGTTTTCGGCTACTATGATCTTCAGCCCTCGATCCATAGACACATCTTCAATGTTGGTTCCGCATTTCTTCTTGATGTTCATGTTTTTTGTACAAGTATTATCCACAATGAACGAATATGCCAAACCGTTTCTTCTTACAGCTTGCTCGCAGGACCTGTAGTAATGTATGAGCCGCCAATCTTCAGCATATCAACTGCCTGCTCCACCATCTCCTTGACAATAACCCCAGCTGGCTTGATCGCCGTCACACTGGCCGACACATCACCCATGAGGAAAGGCATATCAATATCCTTCTCATTCTCCAAATCATCCATCATAGGCACAATCCCCTTAGCAGTCAACTTAGCAATATCCCCAGGCCTTCCCTCCCACTCCTTAATATAATCATTAGGCAGCATGCGCAAAGGCCGCCCACTAACAACCAAAGTCCTCTTCGTCTCACCATACCTAGCCCCAACAACAGCCTCCTTATGCAACTGACTAGCACCACTCTCCTCAGACGCAACAAACCGCGTCCCAACCCAAACACCAGCAGCCCCCAACATCAACGACGCCGCCAAACTGCGCCCATCATTGACACCTCCGGCAGCAACAACTAGCGCCGGCTGCCCAGTCAACGGACTCTTGTACCGCTTGGCAACATCAACAACAGCAGGCACAAGCACCGAGAACGGCACATCACCGGTATGCCCACCTCCTTCCCCACCCTGCGCGCAAACAATATCAACACCCAACTTAAGCGCCTTCTCCGCATGCTTCGGCGCGCCCACCATATTCATAATTAAAATGCCTGCCTCATGCAGCCTCTTAATCGTCTTCTCAGGCGGGACACCAACAGCCGAGACGAATAGTTTCGCGCCATGCGAGATGGCAACCTCGACTAACTCATCCAGCTGGCCGTGCGTGTAGTCGTGGTTTGTGGCGCGCGCTGACCCGCCAACTTGTGGTAGAGCAAGATCTACACCGAAGGGTAGGGATGGGTCTCGCAGCAGGGATTTCAGCTCTGTTAGCATTTCGCTAAGCTGGTCTGGGGTGTAGCCTAGTCCGCCCACTGTTCCTAAACCGCCCGCGTTGGAGACTGCTGCTGCTAGTGGTGCACCTGAGGCGCGGGCCATTCCTGCTAGGAGGACTGGGTGTTGGATTTTGAGGAGGGTGCAGAGGGGGGTTTGGAGTGACATTTTGGGTGTTGTAAAGTGTGTAAAGTGTATGATTCGGTTTGGTTTGGAAGTGGATGTATAAGATTTGAGGACTGGAGTACGGAAGCTGGATACTTGTAGTTTATAGAGAATTATTCAAAGGTATGAAGCATTTGTAGTAGGTACCCTGCAGGTTATAGACATATGCAGTTGGCATATTCAAAGAGGGGAAATCAACTTTCCTCGGATAGTTCGAAGCTGTTGAGGCGGACCGAGGCTGCATAGGCGATCTACAAGTGTGCTTTATGAACGGCACATTTGATTTATACAGTTCTTTCAGGCTTTGAGAGGTACTTAGCTACTATTTTCTATGATCTACACTTTTCGAGGCTCACTGATATCCAAAGATGTAGGCCATGTCTTCAAAAGTTCCTCGAATGAATATAACGGACGCTATGTATTGAATTGATTGCATCACTAATTACAAAATATAAGACATCAAAACTATGCAAGATCTAAATCAACCTATAAAACCACTGCTGTCCAATTTGTCTCAGTTGGCCAGTTCGCCCCAAAGCGGGAATGTAATTGAACGCGCTAATTGACGCGCCCACGCGTCAACCTTACTCTACCAACTCCGCACATCTTGCAAAGATGAAATCGGACAACGATTACGGCTTCCTGTGTCCTCCGAGGTAATTGCGCCCTGCTCATGTTTATCTAAACTACCGATTCTCCTCGACTTCAAGCTCGTGCTAACCGTTGAATCCTCTCCGAATAGCAAGGAGGAACAGGAACAAGAACCAGTCTACCGCGCACCCTCTTTTTACAATCCTCTTCACACCTTTCATCTTCCCGCCGGTCAAGGACGGCACTATAAGCAGCAATATGGCGACATGTACTTTTTGCGACTGGCCAAGTTGAAGCCCAGTGTGGAACAAGTTGCGACGGACGCTTGGGACGGACTTATTGTGAGAACTTTCGATTCTGCAAAAGCTTGATACAGTGGATGGACGTTTCTGACTGCTGTTGGAATATCTAGATTGCCGGAGAGAAGGTTCGACGCGTCGATCGAGTGCTCGATGTGCGACAGGGCGAGCTCTGCTGGGTGGCCGGTACAGTCTACATGGATTTGCCAATGAAGCCGAACATTCTGGACGATCTTACAAAAGAGGTCGGTACTTGCTCTCAATATTGATCCTGCTACGTAGGGCATCCTAACTAACAATCATAGAACTTCACCTCTGCGCCCCCTCCCCGCCGCACCTACACCGACCCTCTCGATCCCTCTTTGACCCAGATTATGTTGGAGGATGAGTCGGGTCGGCTAAGACTTACTGGAAACTTCCTACGGACGACACAGCTGGCGACAGGTGCCATTATTGCCGCTTTGGGTACCGAGAACGCCAATGGAGACTTTGAAGTCATTGATATCAAGCTGCCAGATCTGGCACCGCAGCCTCAGCGATGGGAGGGCACCTCACAAAACGGGCCAAGCACCGAAAAGCAAAGCGGCAAGATCGCATTCGTCAGTGGATTGGGCATCACAGGAACATCGAGCGACACACTTACCTTGGAGCTATTGACGGATTACCTTCTGGGCTACACCGGTTTCTCGGGTCACGACGAAAACAGTCCCTCGACAAGTTCCTCAAAAATAACCCGCTTGATCATTGCGGGCAATTCACTTGGAGCCAGCGTGACTACTGAAGCCGCATCGGCTGGGTCTGACAAGGCAGCTATTGCAAAAAAGGCCATGCCAAAAAAGTACGGTTATGACGCCTCCGCATACAACGCCTCGCCTATTACACAGCTAGATAACTTCCTAGCGGAGATCTTGCCTAGCATTCCGGTAACACTCATGCCGGGTGATAAGGATCCTGCCAACTTCTCTCTCCCGCAGCAGGGAATCCATCGCGCTATGTTCCCCCAGGCTAGGGCGTACTCTGCGCCTCCACCTCGCGGTGAAGACAAGCCTGAAGCAGGCTGGTTTGACAGTGTCACCAACCCCTGGGAGGGCGATGTTGAGGGATGGCGAGTGTGGGGATGTAGTGGGCAGAACGTTGACGATGTCCTCCGATATCTCAACTTCGAGAGCACTGAGCTCAGCCTCGAAGGTGACACAGATGACTCTGAGTCCCGGGTCCGAGTCATGGAAGCCATGCTTCGCTGGCGATGCGGCGTTCCGACTGCGCCTGACACAATCTGTATGTTTAAACACCTTAATTGTATCAGCCCATTACTGATAATCTCTTCAGGGTCATACCCATTCCAGATGGATGATCCATTCGTTTTGCAAACCTGCCCGCACATTTTCTTCGCCGGTAATCAGCCACAATTCAGGACTGCCACGATCCAAGGCGACGTCCCTCTCCGTTTAGACGGTGACACTGATATGATGGATGCCAAGGATAATTATGATGGCTCCCGTGTTCGACTGCTTGCTATTCCCAAATTCAACGAGACGGGCGAGTTGATACTAGTTGACACTGAGACGTTGGAGGTCGAGGTGGTCAAGTTCGGGGTTTTCAAGGGACGAGAAGAACAAAAGTGAATTGATAGAAATACCAATCAAATACATCACATAGTATTTATTAAATCTTTCCACAATTTGCTCTTCATCCTAGTGTTCGTAATATTCATATTCACGAAATTATATAGATCAATCAACCTGGGCCGCAGCTCGTTGGTTCCGCCAAGCCCCACAATGGAAAGAATCAATCCCACCAACTTCCGATCTCATATATCCCGTCGAGCCAGATAGACATCAGGTCAGGTCTCTGGGGTGATCCAAAATCCGCAAAAATGCTGCTCAATGCCAACATCGGTACAGTTTTCTCCACCTATATCCATTTTTATACCCACGCAGAATACAACCTAAGACCTATATGCTAATCATATCCAATCCTAAATAGCCCTCTCATCTTCAAAAGCCCTGCTAGTCCCGTACTCATCATGGCACGTACCGCAATACCACGAATGGATGAAAGACCCAGTAAGTAACTCTATAAACCAACCAAAAAAGCCAAACATATTAACCGAGCTGTAGGAAATCCAAGAAGCAACGGCCTCAGAACCCCTAACCCTAGAAGAAGAATACAACATGCAACTTAGCTGGCGAACAGACGCAGATAAACTAACCTTTATCGTCTGTCGACCCCTCTCAACAGCCAGTACAACAGAGGAAGAGCCCAGCCAACACCAACTTCAAACAGAAAGTGATGGCCCACCAAACATGGTTGGCGACATAAACCTCTTCCTACGCATTGATGATGGCGAACATGGCAACTCGCCGCCAAAATTACTAGGAGAGATCGAACTCATGATCGCCGAAAAGAACAACCAGCGCCGTGGGTTTGGGCGCGCCGCGTTACTTATGTTTATGCGGTATATTGTTCAGTATCAGGGGGCTATTTTGGAAGAGTTTGTTGCTGGGGGTGGGGTTGATGTTGAGACTGTAAGGAAATTGAGGACTGGGGTCGAGGTTGAGGCCAATGAGACCGAGACTGCGACAGCTTCGACGTTGGAGTTTGACTATTTGAGTGTCAAGATTGGGAAGGATAATGTACGTAGCTTGAAATTGTTTGAGGGCTTGGCTTTTGAGAAGGCGTCTGAGTCGAACTTTTTTGGCGAGGTCGAACTGAGGAGGAGGGACTTGAGTCTCGGTAGTGTTGATGGTGCCCTTAGGAAGGCTGGTGTTAGGGGATTTGTTGCTTTGCCTTATGAGAGGACTGAGTAGGTGGCTTTTGGGAGTGTTTGGTATGTAACTAACATTCGGATATACTAATAGAACTATAAATTCACAATGACAGCCTGTAACGACGGATACCTAGCATCATTCCCTCGTACTCTGTATCCGCTCAAGCGGAGTACAAAGCCGGACCAGGAATAACATACGCACTCAACGTTTGATAAATGCTAATCAAAATCCCAGGATCGGTCTCGGTATACAGCGCCTCACCAAGTGTACCAGCAGGCACATCACTGCCACCACCTGTAACCTGCAGATTGATACACTGCGGATAATTCTGCGCCCCGTCCAACTGCCCCGCCGAATGGAGCGCAATAATCTCATGCCGCATAACATAATTACCAGAAGCAATAGTCGAAGGAATAGTCACAGTCCAGCGATTCCCAGCCGCAATAAGCTCATCGGTAGCCCAAGTCCCCGGCACAGCGGAATTATCTACAAGACCCCTTTCGGCAATCTTGAAGAACTTCAGTGTGGTCTTGTCGACCGTGCTGCAATCGTTGTTCGTGCATGCTGCCAGGTAGGTGACCACAGGCCCATGGTGCGAATCTGGCCAGGTCGTCCATTGGAGTTCGATGTCTGAGCCCGCGGTTACTGTGGCGCTGAGGGCAGCATTTACGCCGTTTCGGTGGCAGATTATGTTTGGGTCTTTGTATTCTGTTGGAGCTTCGAAGCCGAGGTCTGTCGCAGTTGAGGTCCAGCCGATGTTTGGGTTCTAGAAACACTATCTAAACTAGGATCGAGAGGAAACTCTTAGCGTCATCCCAACAAAAGCTTATCGTGTGAAGGTTAGGATAGTTCAAAGAGGGAAGAAGTACGTCCTTATCGCACGTGTTTGAGCCGGTAGCAAGCATTCCGTCGATAACTTATCTATCAACATAACATGAAGCATGAGTCCATTGGATTTCTGGATGTTATACACGAATGGCCGAAAGACACTTCTAGAGGTCATGGCTTAGCGTCATCCCAAAGCTCATTGTGTGAAGGTTGGGACAGTTCAAAGAGGGAAGAACTGCGTCCTTATCGCACGTGTTTGAGCCGGTAGCAAGCATTCCGTCGATGTCTGTTAACATCATAGGAAGCATAGTCATCTTTGGAAATAGGAGGCCCTCAAATTCTCCCCCTTCTGCCCACGGGTCTTCTCCCTCCCATGAATCATCAAGAAGATTGATCATTGCGCAACACACGAAGTTGGCATAGAATTGCCGGCGATCATAACGGAGCTCTAGGAATATAATATCGACCCTAGGGTTCTCGTAACCATCATCCAGGGGGCGATGATCGTTGTGAATAGATCTTCACATCATTGATAGCGAATCCTCGAGCCAGAGCTTGTTTACTAGAGCACATGAGAGTAAGTCGCGTCCCCATCCGGGTCCGTTTCGAGGCATGCAGCTGATGATAAGCCCCACGATTTCAGGATCGAGAGGACACGCTTAGCGTCATCCCAACCGAAAGTGATAGAGCATAAATGAAAAGTTTTTATAGCAAAGGGAAGAAAAAGTAAAAGGTTAAGAATGAGATTGGCCATTTTTTGTAATGCAAAAATTGAGATATGCGATTGGTCCTTGTTGCTAAGAGCGTAAGGATAGAAGATAAAGAAGAAAGGAAGATCCTAGGCATAAGGAATCCTTTTATAGGTCTTCATTAGCAAAAGGTTGAGAGTGAGATTGGCCATTCTTTGTAATGCAAAAATTGAGATACGCAATTGGTCCTTGTTGCCAAGAGCGTAAGGATAGAAGATCGTAGGCATAAGGAACCCTTTTATATTACCTCACATAGTAAGGTCTTTAAGTTACTTTACAGCCGCGTCACAAGACCGCCCCCCACCTCTCGGGTAGGGGGTGTCCCTCGGCCATTCTGCAATCATCAGCCATTCTGCAAAATTTCAATTTCTTCAACTTCTAGCTCATTTTCTAGGCGTATAAGGTCTAGGATCCATGAAATAAAACCATCAATAGCCTCATTAGTCAATAATGTATCATCCTCTTCATTTTCAAGTGCTTCCTCCAATTCCTTAGCCGCTAAATCGGCCGCCATTTTCACTGCGTCTTTCCGCTAAGCTTATCTAAAACTTTATAGCACTCTATACATATGTAGTTATAACCCTGTTATATAGACCTGCTGTGAAAAGCCAGCTTAGAGATGGTATATGGTAGGCAGACGAAACGTAATTGATTTAAACCCCAATGGCAATGACTTAATGAAATAGACCCAGCTATCGTGCTTTACCATAAGTGGAGAAGGGATAGCTGAGGAAAAGTGACGGTGGAAGTATCAATTGTATAATATATACCATAAGCAGAGTGAATAATGGAACAATAGTAAGAGAAAAGAGTGGCGTTGTATTGTTGTTCGTATATGTAGTTTCTTTGTTAGTCACGCCTAAGGCATCAAGCCCCACCACCACCTCAATTCACGTTTTATATCCGCATCTCACACACTTTGGTCTTCACTCAACAGTCCTTTCTACATTAATCTGTGTTTGATCAAGATCAGAAATTACATCTAGACAGGGCAGTCTCGACGCGCTAGAATCAATCCCTAATCACCCGGGGCATTCGTTTCCCTGCACGCATCCGCGGCGATTATCTCTCGACCCTGAATTCTCCAATTTCTTCATTTCAACATACAGAATGGAGGGAGCCTATTCCGCTGATCCCGAATGGGCTGATGTCACCCCAATCGAGCTGGATGATGGCTCCGGTTCTGGTGCTATGCCGCTGGCTACGATTGCCTACCCGCCCGAGTACCTTGAGGCAACCTCGTATCTGCGAGCCGTGATGGCTGCCAATGAAATGTCTGAGCGGGCATTAAAATTGACCGAGGATATAATCTCGATGAATCCGGCGCACTATACCGTATGGTAAGTGAACATGTTGATGCGCAATCATTCATTTCCGGGGTTCCGTGATATCTAACGCTCCGCACAGGATCTACCGAGCAAAGATACTCTTCGATCTGAACAAAGATCTAAACAATGAACTGGAATGGCTAAATGACATTTCATTGAAATACCTCAAAAACTACCAAATCTGGTATGTTCAACCCACCCAGAAACAAGAGTCCCAAACTCACATCTACAGGCACCACCGCCAAGTCCTCCTGTCATCGCGAGAGCACTTTCCAACCCTCCCACCAAAAGAAGCAGACTTCTTAATGGAAATGTTCGCCCAAGACTCCAAAAACTACCACGTATGGACTTACCGCCACTGGCTAGTCCGCCACTTCAAGCAATGGGACGAACCCCGCGAACTGCAAGACGTAGAAGCACTGCTAAAAGCAGACGTGCGCAACAACTCTGCCTGGAACCACCGTTACATGCTCCGCTTTGGGCCGCGCGATACCAGCAGCCCAGACGCAGGCATGATAAACGCAGGCGACATGACCACTGCGCCCGGCGAGAAGGGCCGGTTACCTGTTGTTGATGAGGATCTTGTGGATGGTGAGCTTGAGTTTGCGCAGGAGGCTATTTTGCGCGCGCCGGAGAACCGGAGTGCGTGGTGGTATGCACGGGGTGTTTTGAGAGCTGCTGGACGGGGGCTTGGGGAGTGGGAGGAATTTGCTGGTAGGTTTGTTGGGGATGGGGGTGTTAAGAGTACTCATGCTCTTGAGTGGTTGGCTGATGTTTATGCGGACGGGAGGGAGGGGTTGGCGGTTGGGATGTTGACGAGGCTTAAGGAGGAGTTTGATCCTATTCGGGGGAATTATTGGGATTATCGGATTCGGAAGTTGGGAGTTGCTGAAGCTGAGGTTGCTGTTAGGTAGGGTGGGTGTGGTTGTTTACTTATCGCCTAGGTTATGTTTGGATAGGACCATTTGTGACATTGATTGCATTTATTAAACCTTCTTTTATATGGCGACCGCTGTGTAATGTATGAAGGACGCAGGAAAGTGTAAGCCTCTATCTAAATGATAGCCAAGAAACAAGTCCCAAAGATGAAGAAATGAAAGAAACATAAACATAATTCATATATCGCAAATGAAACGCCAATGGGAAACAAGGTATCAAAGTAAGAAAATAAACATATCAAGCCCATCCCTCGTCCAACATCTTACGCCACTCACTGGCCATGTCAATAGTGACATTGCTACCACCACACACAATGATAACAACCCGACTGCGCTCATTAAGACCAGGAACAAGCTGCTTAAGCTTTGAGTTAAGCTTTTTACCAGCAACCTCAGCCTCCCCCTCAAGATCAGTCTCAGTATCCGTCGATGAGGACCGGTCATCACCGTATCCCTCATCACGATAAGAGACAGCCGTCTCATCTGAGCCGCGCTTCCGCTTCTTGATGCTCTGAGCACCGGCAGCGCCAGAGGCAGAAACTGCAGTGGCGGCATCGCCGATAGCAGCCTCAATGCAGACTCCACATGCAAGCTCGACGAGGAGTCGCTCGTCGTTGGCTAGGCGGAGGACACCACGGGCGGCATCTGCGTCTGAGAGAACGGTGCTGTGAACTTTGACACCTGGGGGCGGAGAGACGGCGTACTGGAAGGTCTTTTCCGAGACGCGGATGGCCCCGAGGGAGGTAGCTTGGGATGTGATCTTGGGGAGGGAGACGAGGGCGTTCTGAGCAACTGCCGTAGCCAGGGAATCGGTACCGGCCGTTTCGATGGCGAGGAAGTGGATGGGGTTTAAGGAGGCGGAGGTGTTTTGCTTCTGGCGACGGCGCTTTTCGATGCCCATGATCATACCATTAATGAGGCCGCCACCGCCGACGCTGCACAGGATTGCGTCTAGGGGGATGGCGCGATCACTGTAGGCTTTTGTGTCTTCTGGGGTTGTTGCGGGGGGAAGCTGGGCCTCGAGTTCGTCGATGATTGTGCCGTTTCCTTCCCAGATGGGTTGGTTGTCGAAGGGGTGCAGGGCAATCTTGACGATGTCTTCGTCCTCGCCGCTGTTGTTCTTCATGATAGTTTCCCGCATGTATTCTCCTGCTTCGGAGAAGGTCTCACCATGTCGGATGACGTCTGCTGCTCCTGCTGCTCGGATCTTGTCCAACATCAGAGGCTTGGTGGCCATGGGGACTACCACTGTGCATGGGTAGCCCAGGCTTTTGGCTGCGCAGACTGCTGCCAGTCCGGCGTTTCCTCCGGACGAGGCGTAGAAGTGGACTTTGCGGCCCACGTTTGATGGGTTGCGGAGGTGGGAAAGGATCTGGTTTCCCATGGCACGGGATTTGAAAGAGCCACTGGGCTGGACATTCTCCAGCTTCAGGAAGATCCTACATCCAGCTGCCCGGGAAAGGCAGGCGGACTCGACCAGTGGTGTCTCGATCCATGGCGTTTTGAAGGTCTGCTGTTGACTGCAGGCGGCCAGGTCGATGCTCCCCATTTTGATGTGTTGAACAAAAGGAAGAGAAAGGGGGTTGCGGTGTGGTCTTGCTCAGGGCAGACTGGTAAGATATGAACTATAAAGACAATGTTTCCCAAAATAGAGGATGCCTCAAGCTGTTATACAAAGGATGCCCAAAATAGAAAGATAAGACTCGGATGAGAGAAAAGAGAATACCAAACACCAAACCCTAGTATACAAATATTCAAACATGTTTTGATATACATCTATCCGCAGGGTAGAGTTTCCCGGCGGAAAACAACTTTCCCGGGAGATAGGACTCGCCCGCCGTGTTGGAAGTTTCCCGACAAGGCCAATCACGGTGGATCAGACGTGACATATCGATTCGTTTTGGAGTCAAACCTAGCAACTCAGCTTAGGCCTAGTGGAGGACCCGGGAAACCACCTTGGACGCTGGCGCGCATCGGCGGAGATGATGTAAATCCTTATTCAGACCGGACTGTTCGGTCGCACCCCATTGGCCCCCAGTCCATTATTCTTATCAAATCGAAAGTCAAGAGTTACTCCTCAGTGAGCAGTGGAGGGAACAGAATACCCTTCTTAATGCCCTCACCGTAATCTGCATCCGAACCGTACGCCGTGGCCGCGAATGCCCGCTTCGAGGGGTCCGAGGTGTCTACACGGAGCAGTTCTAGAAGGTCATGAGACTTGCCGGGCATAAACGGTTGCAATAAAATGCCTGCGATTCGAAGCGATTCGGCCACGTTGTAGAGCACTCGTTGAGGGTTGGGGCTTTTCCACGGCTCCGCCGCGTGGAAGTATTTGTTGGTCTGGAACAAGTTAATACTCCGATACAGTGCGGGGATAGTCCCTCATACCTGCTCAATGATGATCATAGTTTCTTGTAACGCGGCTCGTGGGTTGAGCTTCTCCATATGTCCTGCTACCTTGGTAGGCGTCTGTTGCAGGAGCGTCTGGTGTTCCAGATCGTCAGGAGTTGCAGCTGGAAGCTTGCCCAATGCCGCGTCGATAATATGCGAGCGCAAATTGCCACGCGCACAGCCAATTGTGCGCTGCGCAAGGTTCCCGATACCACCCTGGAGTAATTTCTTGTAATCCCGAATGATGAAAGAGTTGTCGAAATCCGCATCATCCGCTAGACTGCCCCGATAAGCTAGGAAAAAGCGCATGCCATCAACTCCGAACCGTTCAATGGCGAAAAACGGGTTCACGACATTGCCAGTGGACTTGGACATCTTCTCGCGATTCATTGTCCAATGTCCGTGCACTAGCACGTTCCGAGGCAGGGGAAGATCAAGCGCCATAAGGAATGCCGGCCAATAGACGCAGTGGAATCTACCGGATGTTAGCTTTAGATAAGTATGTCGGACAAACTCGCAAACCTACCGAACGATATCTTTTCCAACTACGTGCAAATCTGCAGGCCATACAGACTTATCTTCTTGGCCAGGCGGGAAAGGATACCCGGCTTTGGTCAGATAGTTGACGAGCGCATCCAGCCACACGTAGATCGTCTGCGTATCGTCACCGGGAACTGGGATACCCCATGTCAAACGTTCCACTGGTCTAGAAATGGAGAGATCCTGCAATCCCGAGGCAACGGCGTTTACCACGGCAGGTGTGTATGTCGAAGGTGTGATGAATGGATCTTCTCTTTTGTACAACTCAAGCAGACGATCCTTGAAAGCCGATAGACGGAAGTGATAGTTGATTTCTGAGGACCATTCTACTTCCTTGCCCGTCTCAATTGAAACCTAGGAAGGTGAGTATTTGCACCTGGACGGGTCAGGGGAGAGCCTACCATTCGCTTCCTCCCGGTTGTTGGATCTAGGGAGTTCTGCACTTGTGTTTGGGGATAGAACGTCTCATCGCTGACCGAGTACCATCCTTCATGCTTGGAAGTATAGATGTATCCCCGATGTTGCAGCATTTCCTATTCTTGATCAGCATGCGCCATCTATCGAGATCGTAATCGCCTACCCAAAAATATTGAACAGCATCTCGATGTGCCGCGTCGGTGGTGCGGATAAAATGGTCGTTGTCGAGGTTCGCAGCCTTAGCCAGATCCTATAACATCATGTCAGAAATGTGCTGGATTATGAGTCAAGAGACCATACCTCGAAGGTTCGGCAGTTCATGTCGCAAAACGCCTGTGTATCCATGCCTGCTTGAATGGCGGCTTGTTGAATCTAGTGATGTCAACCCAGTAATCCGGCCCCATGTACAAAATTGCAGTACCTTCATTCCATGCTCATCGGTTCCAGTCAATAGTTGAGCATCTTCATTCCCAAGTAAGACCTGCCACCGTTTCATAATATCCGCGATGACCATCGTATACAAGTGACCGACATGGGGAGCTAGAAAGAGCATAGAGCATTAGAAAATGAAGCTGAATATATAAACTGTGTAACTCACCAGCGTTGACATAGAAGATCGGAGTCGTCACATAGTAAGGCTTGTTGGACCTTTGCGCAGTCGCAACTCCACGCCGGGGAGTTGCCCAAGTTGCCCATCCATTCCTGCAGGGTGTGCAGGTCCACACGCGCCTTGAGCTTAATAGTCGAGGCGCTCTCAGAAACGAGCGGAGCGGCGTCCTTGTGGCAGCCATTGATGAGTGGTGAAGAAAAAGACGAGTGTTGCATGTTATTCCGGCGATCTCGGCTGGTCCAAGCTTCTCCGCAGTTGCGACCTTTTTTTCTCTTCTTTCGCGACGGCGCGAACATCCCACGCATTTGCTTTCACCACACGAAATACCTACTTTGGATCATTTATTCCTTCATTCGTCACATATACACTCTATTTTACAAATCCGACAAACCTATTACGATGGCTCCAAGCGAAGATACGTTGACCAAGGTGTCGACCGAAGGTAAACCAGATCTTTAGTTGCGACCTGTTCGATCCTGAGATATGAACTAACATTTTACCTGATTTTAGCCGCGACCGACTTTGTCCAGTCCTTCTACCCAGCCATAAACTCGAATCGCGAATCCATCAGCTCCTACTACGCCCCGGCACCCTCACCAGTCCTGTTCAATGGCAACCCTGTCGCGGACGGCGCCGCCGTGCAAGAAATCTTTGTCCACCAAATGCCCACCGCTGTGTATGAAGTGCAATCCTACGACTGTCAAATCATCAATCCCGCATATCCCACCACCACACCAGCCGGTCCAAAGCCTCCGTCGGAGATGGGTGTGAAAGACATGTCGATTCTCATTCTCGTCAGTGGCTATGTGCGCTATGGAGAGGATCCCGATAAACCTCAGCGTGGATTTAGCGAGACCTTTGTTTTGGTGCCGAACCCATCATCGGATAAGGCCCGGGGTCGCAAAGAGTGGCTCATTCAAAGCCAGAACTTCCGCCTTGTTGTATGAGCAACCGTATACCACTATCAATCAGGCTTTTCACAATCGGGAGGTTTCACATCTTTTTTAGAATTACAGTAGGTACTATAAAAGGTTTCCTTCTATTCTCAATCTTCCTTCTTCTTATTCTTACTTCACGATTACTTCACGGTTACTTACCACTGCAGTACTGACAGTACATACAACTGCATACTACTATCAACTGGGCTTTTTACAATCAGGCTTTCTACAATCAGGAAGTTTCACGTCTTTTTTCGAATTACAGTAGGTACTATAAAAGGTTTCCTTCTATTCTCAACCTTCCTTCTTCTTCTTTCTTCACGATTGCTCACCACTGCAGTATTTACAATACCTCAACATCAACATCACTGCGCATATCAATCATGGGCCAAGTTCAGGTGTCCGTTGTGTCATCTGACACAGATGGAGAAGAGCCGACCTCGACCAGCATGGTGACAATACCACCAGCAACCATCACTGTGGCAATTCCCACCCCCATCATAACGGTTTATCATCCGATGTTGGGGCCTTCCCCTACCACTTTGGCGCTCAATATCGCCCAAGTCACAGCTCCCGCCCCGGCCCAGCGTTCTCCCGCCCC